AGCAAACCCGCTCTAGAAATGCCCTCCATAAAACCTACCAATCGGACCAAAGCGTCCTGAAGCACTGGAGTGGCTATGAAACCCTCTGGGACCTGAGCTGGGCCCACTGGAGCTGCTGGAGCTGGAACCTCCTCGTCATAATCAACATGAGGCTCCACCTCTGGGACTGCTGCTCGGGGCTGAGCTCTGCCCCGGCCTCGGCCTCTGGCACGGCCTCTGGCACGGCCTCTGGCACGGCCTCGGCCTCTGCCCCTGATAGGAGTTATTGCTGGGGGCTCGGGCTTCTGCGCAGTAGAAGAGAAAGCACGTGTTCTCGTCATCTGCAAAAGAACAGAGTAGGAAGACAATCAATACTTAAGAAACCGAGTCGCACGACAAGAATGAACAAAGTGAAGTTTTCCTAACTCCGCAGCCTCTGCGGGATAAGTACAGACGTCTCCGTACCGATCCCTCAGACTCTACTGAGCTTGTCCGTGAGTTGTGAGACCTATGTAACCTAGTGCTCTGATACCAACTTGTCACGACCCGGATTTCCCACCGTCGGGAGTCGTGATGGCGCCTACTATCAGAGCTAGGCAAGCCAAATATTAAACATTCTCTAATAACATCTCAACAATAACAATATACGAAAAACAATTAATGAAAAACGGAAGACTTTAAGTTTATAAAACTGAAATTCAAATGCGGAAGTTTAAGACAGATCTCTACCCAAAATCTGGTGTCACTGCTCACGAACTTCTAAGAGTGCTAAATACAACCGTTTGAAAGAAAATATTAATTGTTTGTCTCGAATATATGAGGTAACAGATGGAAATAAAAGATAGAGGAGACGTCGGGCCTGCGAACGCCTGCAAGGCTACCTCAGTGTCTCACTGGACTGAAGGCTGGATCCCGCCCTACTGCTGCTGTCCTAGAGCTGCTCCGGTACCGTAATTTGTGCAAAGAGCACAGAAGTATAGTATCAGCACAACCGACCCCATGTGCTGGTAAGTGCCTGGCCTAACCCCGGCGAGGTAGTGACAAGGCTAGGACCAGACTCCAAATGAACCTGTGCAGTTCTATAATATATGGCGGAAAGTAAACAAGTAATAAGCAGTAAAATTGGGGAAGGGGAACATGCTTCGGGGAAAATAAATCAACCTAGCAGTACTAATTAGATATAAGAGAGAACAATACAGTATTTATATTAATGCATTAACACTACTATTGCGGCGCGCAACCCGATCCGATATAGTAACTGTTGCGGCGTGCAACCTGATCCAATATAATAACTGTTGCGGTGTGCAACCCGATCCAATATATTAACTGTTGCGGCGTGCAACCCGATCCAATATAATAACTATTGCGGCGTGCAACCCGATCCAATATAATAACTGTTGCGGCGTGCAACCCGCTCCTATATTAGTTCATCACACAATCACGAGGCATCCCGGCAAGGGAACATATCAACTCAATAAATTTCCGGCAAGGGAGTAAATCTATAATATCAATGAAAACCTCCCGGCAAGGGAGCAACACCAATAACCTACGCATTCCGGCAAGGGATTTATCACGTCTCTCTCTCCTTTCCTTTAACCTTCTTAATCAATAGTATCTATATCGTTCGAGCCAACGCTCCAAGAATTCACAATTCATAACTAACCCTCGTACTTTTCACATCATGTAGAATTCATCAATTAACATGGAGGAGTCCCCCAAAATATCAAATAAGTGCAAACAAAGACCCACGGTCATGCTAGACACCGGTGCATAGATACTCGTCATCATGCCTATACACCGTACTCGATCATTTAGCAATTAGATATTAAACACTCTAATCCTATTCCCTCAAGCCAAAGTTAGATCAAACACTTACCTCGAATGCTCCAAATTCAACTCACGCTTCTAGAATAGCTTTACCTCTCGAATTCACCGCCCAATCGCTCGAATCTATCCACAAATTACTTGAATGCATTAATAAATACTATTGGAACTGACCCCAATGCATAAAAAATAGTTTTTACAAGGTTTTTTCCAAAAAGGTCAAAAATACCCCCGGACCCACGTGGTCAAAAAACTCGAGGTTCGGACCAAAACCCGATTACCCATTCCCCCATGAATCCAAATACATGATTTGTTTTGAAATCGGACCCCAAATTGAGGTCCAACTCCTCAATTTGTAGAAAACCTAGGTTCTACCCAAAACACCCAATTTCACCCACGAAAATCTTTGATTTGAAGTTGAAATTATGTTAAAAGATGTTAAGGAATAAAGAAATTAAATTAGAAATCACTTACCAATCGTTTTTGGAGAAGAAAAGTTATTTGGAAAATCGCCTCTTAGGTTTTGGGTTTTTGAAAAGTGGAAAAATGACTGAAAATCCGATTTTATATATACTCAGGCTGGGGGCTGGCGCGGACCGCACCAAAATGTGTTGCGGCCGCGCCGAGTGGGAGGAAAATTGGGGCTTGTCTGAACCCTCCAGCGCGGACCGCACTATTTTGGTGCGCGGCCGCGCTGGTTAACCTGAAACCCTAGCCCTCAGACTCAGCCACGCGGACCGCACAGAAAAGATACCGCGGCCGCGTGGCTCCAGCGCGGACCGTGCAGAAATGACCGCGGCCACACTGGTGTCTGCAACACCTGACCTGCATTTTCTTAAGTCCAAGACCTCCCGGGCCCCATTCAAAACTCACCCGAGCCCTCGGAGCTCCAAACCAAACATACATATGATCTTAAAATCATCTTACGGACTTACTCGTGCGATCAAATCGCCAAAATAACATCATATACGTAGGATCAAGCCTCAAACCACATGATTTTCTTTCTTCAACTTTCATAAACTTCAAATTTCCCATTTTTAGTCCGAAACACGTCAAACGACGTCCGTTTTCAACCAGACTTTACAGATAGTGCTTAACACATATTTAAGACTTGTACCGGGCGTCGAAACCAAAATACGAGCCCGATACCTATATTTTCTAACTCCTTTTCATTTCAAATTTTCATATCAAATTTCAGAAAAAATAATTTCTTTCAAAAATTCATTTCTCGGGCTTGGGACCTCGGAATTTGATTCCGGGCACACGCCCAAGTCCCATATTATTCTACGGACCCTCCGGGACCGTTGAATCACAGGTCCGTGTTCGTTTACCCAAAATATTGACCGAAGTAAATATTATGCATATTAATATCAAATTTCATCAAATTATTCACAAAATTCACATATTCTAACATAAAAAATTTTCTTGCTACGCGCCCGAACTGCGCAAGCAAATCGAGGCAACTAAAAGCGAGGTTTTCAAGGCCTCGAAAGCACGGAACAAGGAAGAATTATGGTGATGACCCTTTGTGTCGTCACAGTCTGCCCACACTTTCGTCATCAGCCATGCTAATTCTCCACCACAATTTAGCATCTTCCGTTAGGTACATGCTTGTAATTGTGACTTCCTCCCTGTCTAGAACTTTGGCAGCAACAAAGTATTGCTCCATATCCCACAGAAAGTTCTCCAGTTCTTTTGCACTATGCGCTCCACCAAATTCCTTAGGATCAGGGATCTTCACTTTCGAACGTTCTTCACTGCCTTGGCCTGTAGCAGCCAACACCCTTCGAAGAACAGTAATTTCAGTGTTCAGAATTTCGATTTCCTTCCTCAGTTCCACAACTTGAACATTTGTGGCCTCACACGTTTTCTGAATACCTTCACGAAAAGGATCAATTCCATCCTTTAGACGGTAGATCTTAGTAATTAGATCTGCCAATTCCAAAGGATCATCAGTCACACCGATCAGCGCCTCCAGTCTTTGCACACGATCACGTAAATCTGAAGTAGATCCGCCAGCCATGGCCATAAATCACGACCAAAGCTTTGATACCAGTTGTTACAGGGCCAATTCTAGCACAATTGATATTGCACGACAGTAGCCAAACTTTCAGCCACTCAGCCTTACTTTTTTCGTACATAGCCTGACACTTAGAATAATTCAGACTTAGCGAAACGTAGCAACACACAGAGTTACGAGTAAAGTCATCCGACCTTTATTATTCTCGCAGAATACAAAAAGGACTCAGCTGGAAAAGGCTCACATATGCTACTTGCCTTATTCCAAACGAAATACACACATAAAAGGGGGTTGCCTATGGCAGTTTTACAAAGGGGCAGTTAGGGGCAGTTATACAATGTGTCTTGCACATGACAAGCCTAAAAACAAGCATAACCAATGAATTCAAACCCTTCCAACGAATTTGGACTTGTCTTCAACATTTTAGTCAACTGCATATGTGCTCAACTGCATATGTGCTTTGCACATGCCTTTAACTTCCACATCATATGCATAACACACCTCTTCAGTCACATAACTTGCACACTTGTTTTTCAGCTTTTGCCCATACTTAGTCTTCCTGCCTTGCCTTGTTTTTGGACCATGCCTCGCCCATAAGCTTATGACCACGTCTTGCCACAAACTTAGTCGTTCCACTGATCCGCACGCATGCCTTAGTCAAGTGTCATGCGCCTTCATTTGCCATAACCGTTGCCCACAATCAAGCTGCCTTGCCAACACTCAAGACACTTTGCCTAGCTGACTTGTCTAAGTCCATGCACTAACTTAGACACACCCTCAGCCCCGCACATTGCTTGCCAACATCCGCACAAATCTATGCCAAGGGGCAATGTACAAGCCTTTGACATAGATTCTGCCCGACATCCGTCACGTCTCAATATTAGGGGCTAACACTAAGCCACTGGGGCAATTTTATGCCAATAATCGAGAGCTCCAGAGGCGCTTCTAACAACTAATTTTTTTTTTTAGTGGTTAAACTCCCATCATTTATTTCGCCGCTTCCTATATGTATCACGAGAAACACATTCTGAGACTTCATGTATACGAGACTTATAGTTAATAAAATTAAATAGATAAATATATTAAAAAAACAAAAGCATGTCGCAATTGAAAGGCGATACCTATAGGAAAATATTTTTTGCACTAATTGTGATTGGAGAGGATGAAGCTGTTGGGGTTCTTTTAAAAAAGGTTTGAGTTAGTGGGTGTTACGGAGGGAGGGGAAAGGCCTTTCCGTCCGTTGGATACGTTAAATCCCGTGTAACAAGCGAGCTCTTTACTCTCAAATTAAAGAATGATAGTTATACATAGGAATAAATATCAAGATCTTTAGGAAGCTCGCACTGGCCAGCCCATCCTGTTCCAAGCACTACTACTCTCTTCTTCTATGCTTCTGATTCATTCTCTCTAACTGCTGCTTCGATTCTGCATTTGCCATTACATCTCCAGTACTGTAAAAAGTAACAACCAATAGAGAAGTATAAGTAGCAAAATCCTCAACAAAATATGATAGAAAAAGATCAGTCTCTAAAAGAACCACAACATTCATTCACTAAACATCAATTTTTTAAGTGAGTCCTAGCCCAGATTGTAATTTTGTATATCAGAAGTCAGAACTGATTATAGGAGCATTGTCCCATTGTAAATTCTATAAGCATAAATCACCTCATATGAACAATAAGAAATGCAGACAATGAAGTAAAACAACGCATAACATAAATCACCTCATATGAACAACTCCTTAAATGAAATCTTGTTATTTGTCGTCATTTCTCAAGCAAGGCTAAACTCTACTCCCACTTTTGAATCCATCAGGACACAATTACCTTTTGTAAAGCATCCAATTTATTTGAGCTATAATCCACAAAATTTGATATGAAAAAAATCTCCAAGAGTTAACATTATTTTAGTACAACTTTACACCTATTGGGCCAACATTTGTAGTCTTAGCAACATATGATTCATTCAACTTTCTTTTGTTAAATCAAAATGAGTTTCGGAATGGACATAGACACAGCTAAACAAAAAACGCCTACCAACTGAATAACATTTCTAAATAGCTAGCGAAATCCACATTAAGATTCAAAAGATGTCTTCTTTTGTTCTAGAAGGAAAATTGTCAAAACGCTCAACTACCTTGTTAGTTGTCTATTTATTTGATACTTAACGCGAAAGGAACAGTTCTTTTCTGATCTTTAACTTCTTCGGGCTTGTGCATAGAGGACCTTCCAACTTGTATTACAAACTTCAAGGCAAGGGGGAAAATGAGGACATATATGTTCAAGTGTCAAGAACTTCAGAAGTTCTCCTTTTATTACAAAAGCAAGAACCCATACGGATGAGAGGGGAAAAAATGGAAATCAAAATAAGCATCAATAATGCACATTGACAGAATTCACACCTTACTGCAGAAAATGGTAATAGAAAAAGAACAAAGACGTGATAAATCAGCAAGAAAAACAAAAGTCACAAAATTTGGAACGAAAATGAAGAGATGAAAAAAATAATAAAGAATAAGGAGATTGGCTACAGAGAGCTCTGCAGAGATATGTGTAATCCCACATCTTCTTACTGTCATTTCTTAAGTGAATAGGCTCAAATTGGGTAGTCTAAAAAGTGTATAGTACTGACAAAAAAATCAGAATTTGTTGATGCATTTTTTAGGATTGTAAAATAATCTGAAACCTCCCGGACATTCCTTATTAATTTTATACTTATCTGATAAGGTAATGTAAATTCAAAAGTCGCCAACTTTAAGAGACAAAAAACTGAAGAAGTCTAATGTGTATGGAACCTAAGAATGAAAAGCATTTCCCAATCATATAAATCACATCACATATACTTGAACACAGGAAAATTTCAAATGACAACTAATTGCAAGTGACAGTATCAGTTTCTAAATAATAGTGTCAAGTAAATTTTGGTACAACTGGATAATACACACACATTCACGCGGAAACATAGACCAAGCAGTTCTATCAAGTAAATACAGTACATAACTTGCAGAATAACAGCTAGCATATATTTCCTTTGACAACACCAAGGACAACAACCCAGTAAAATTTCACTAGGGTATGGGAGGGTAGTGTGTACGCAGACTTACCCTACCCGAGGAGTAAAGAGGCTCCTTTGACACAAATTATCAAACAACAATTATACAGGTTCCCCTAAAGTTCAATTAAGAAAAAAGGAAGTGTGCGAAGCTTACAGTAACGAATTTTAGTCGTCATTATCATCAGGTTCCTCAAGTTTTTGACCAAAGCCTTTAGGTCCAGCTCTAGCTGATCTAGCTACGATTTTGCCCTTGCGACCACTAGTCTTCTTTTTCTTAGCTGACTCTTCCTTCTCAAACTTCTCTTTCTCCCTTTTTTGCAAGAAATCTGTAACCGCTATGTAGATTACCTGTATCCACACACAAAGAAAATCCACAATTAACAACAACGTCCATAATTTCAGCTCTATTAAAGAAAAAGAAAGTTAAATTAATTACCCCAATAGTGAGAATGGATAAGCCAACGAAAGCAACAAAAAGGAGAGCTGATATGATGGTTGACACTCCATCATCACTGGTGGAAGAAACTATTTGCTCTGTAGTTTCAGCTGTAGATACTATTTGTTCGGTGATTTCAGCTGGTGGGTTTGCTTCTGATAGCAAGAAATTCTCAGAAATAGCGGAAATTTTCCAAGAATTTTGGATATTGTTTGTGGAGGAAATTAATGGTAGATTGTGAATCTTGAGAGGGTGGATTTTTCTAAGTAGTGAAATGTGGGAGACATTTTTGGAAAAGAAAAGAGATGAGTTAGGCTTAGGAAGAAAGGAGAGAGATAAGGATGTAGCAGCCATGTTCTCTCATCCCAAAATACTTCATTCATTCTTGATATGCATACAATCTAGTGCGTGGACCGGGTAACACAATGAGTTTTTTATTTATTTAATTCTACTACTGTTTACCTAATAATAAAATCTTTATGATTAAAGTTGAAAAATCGTGATTTAACTTGTTTAACATATTAAATTATATTATTTTAATAAAATTTTAATTGTCATCTTTACAATACAATATACTAAATAAAAAGTCTTTATGATACTAATTGAAGTGAATCACATGGCCATTGAATAACCTTTTTGGTTCTTATTTTTTATTGTATAATTCATTATTTAGTATTTTATTATATTACTAATATAATTTTTTTATTAGCTTGTCACTTAAATTAATATACTTGTGGATTAAATTTTTCTTTTTTTAATAAATGAAGAGTATTACAAAAGAGTTAAATTTGGAAAAAAGGGCAAAAGTTAAAGATTAAACTTCACATATCTCTTAAATTTGCAAACATGTAAGTAGTATTAAGAACATGCTCAATTGGCTCTTGCAAAAAATTACAAGTATACAAGTTTTCGTTATGAAACTATTATATTGTGGATGTCTATTTATTACTCCACCAGAAAGATTATTCATTTAGTACTCCGTTGAAGTTTATCTTCAAGCAGTTGATGCAGACAGGTTGCAAGCAACTCAATGAAATGATTTGCAACAACTTCTTATTAAAAAAATAGGTTGCGAGCAGCTCATGCAGACAACTTACAAGCAGCTCAAGAAAAGCCTCGCAGCTGCTTTCTGAAAAGCTTTGCAGCTACTTCCTGAAAAGCCTCGCAGCTGCTTCCTTTCTTCTATAAATAGAGAAATTTTCAGTTCATTATGTACATCAGTTTGAAAGTTGAATAATATATCAATTTCTCTCTATACTTGTCTTTGGTTTATTTATTTTACAGTCGTTATTTTATAACATGTTATCAGCACGAGACTCTACCATCTCGAGTAAATACTTTGAAAGTATCAGAGGTACAAACTTTCTTTTTTTAAATAATGTCAAATCTTTCTAAACTTGAATTTGTAGCCATATATCGAGCAAAAGCTACATGTCTTGGGTGCTTGATGCTGAAATTTTTCTTGATGCGATGGGTCTGGCAGACACCATCAAGGACAAAAATCAAGCATCAAACCAAGATCGTGCCAAAGCAATGATATTCCTACGCCATCACATTGATGAAGGCTTGAAAATAGAATATCTCACCGTTAAAGATCCAGTCATACTGTGGAATAATTTGAAAGATAGATATGACCACCTGAACTGATCATGATATGTTGGAGAAAACTTCACCACTTTTCATGCCTCGAATATGATCCTGCAGCAACAATAACGAGAGATGGGATTCAAAAAGTATTCTGAACTTATCTCATATCTTCTTATAGCCGAGAAACATAATGGGCTATTAATAAAAAACCACGAAAGCCGACCTACTGGTTCTTGTCCATTCCCTGAAGTGAATGAGACGAACTTCCACCAAGCTAGGCGTGGAAGAGATCGTGGCTTTAGTCGTGGTCATGGCCGTGGTTGGAGAAGAAACTCTAATCATGGTAATTGTAATGCACCAAAGAACCCTCCTAACCACCAGCAATGGAAAAGAAAGTAACAAAAGCATGAAGCGGTGCAAGCAATAAATGCAGAAAATGCATGTTATAGATGTGGAGGAAAAAGTCACTGATCACGTACCTGTCGTACACCAAAGCACCTAGTTGAGCTTTATCAAGCCTCCCTAAAGAAGGCAGAAAAAAGCAAATTTTATTTCTAAAGATACTTTAAACTTCATTCATTTGGATGTAGCTGATTACTTTGCACTCCCAGAAGGAGAAACAAGTCATGTAATCGGTGATGAATTTGTAGAAATATAAATATTTTAATTTTGTTGTTTGTAGTAGATAGTATGGTTATGTAATTGTTGTACATAAATAAAAGTTATGCTTTGATTATGATGTTTACTATAATATATTTTGTTTATGTCATTTTGAAGAATATAGATAATCCTCAAATTATGTTTGGATCAAAGACCAATCATGAAGATATTTGTGTAATTGATAGTGGAACAACTCATGCCATATTCAACGATCAGAAATACTTTTCTTATTTGCATAGGGAAAAAGTAAATGTTTCTATAAATCCTGGTAATATAAGTTTGATTGAAGTCTCCTGAGGAGCTATTGTATTTCTATCTAAGGGAACAAAACTTATTATAGACAATGCATTATTCTCCTCCATGTCCCGAAGAAACTTATTGAGTTTTATAGATATCTGCCGAAATAGGTATCATGTTGAAACAATAAATGAAATGAATGTGGAATATCTTTATATTACAAAGAATATTTCTGGCCAGAAGTGCATTGTAGAAAAGTTACCAACTTTATATTATGGCTTATACTATTCAAACATCAGTACAGTTGAAGCACACTCTATCGTAAACCAGAAGTTTACCGATTCATATACTTTTGTGCTTTGGCATGGCCACTTGGGTCATCCTGGATCAATAATGATGAGACAAATTATTGAAAATCCGAGTGGGCATCTATTAAAGAACCTGAAATTGTTATAAATGATGAATTTTCTTGTGATGCTTGTTATCAAGGTAAAATGATCACTATCACCGATGAAGGTTGGCATAGAATCCTCTGCCTTTTTAGAGCGTATACATGAGTATATATGTGGACCTATTCACCCACAAAGTGAGTTATTTAGATATTTTATGGTCCTACTAGATGCATCTTCAAGATGGTCTCATGTGTGCCTACTATCATCTCGCAACCTGGTGTTTGCAAAGCTATTAGCCCAAATAATTCGATTAAGGGCACAATTCCCAGATTCTCTTATAAAGGCTATTCGCCTTGATAATGCTGGAGAATTCTCATCTCAAGCTTTTGATAATTATTGTCTATCAATTGAGACAAAAGTTGAACATCCTGTAGCTAATGTTCATACTCAAAATGGCCTTGCATAGTAATTTATTAAACGCCTGCAATTGATAACAAGACCACTACTTATGAAAACAAAATTGCCCATTACTGTTTGAGGCCATGCTATCTTGCATGCAACATCACTTATCTGTCTCATACCGACACATTATAATAAATATTCTCCATCATAATTAGTTTTTGGTCACGAACCAAATATTGCTCATCTACGTATTTTTGGATGTGTTGTATATGTGCCAGTACTACTACTACAACTCAGCAAGATGGGCCCCCAAATAAGGTTAGGAATATATGTTGGGTTTGAATTACCCTCTATTATTCACTATCTTGAACCATTAACATGAGATTTATTTACTGCTCGATTTGCAGATTGTCGATTTGATAAAATAAATTTTCCACAATTAGGGAGGGAGAAAAAGGAAATCAAAAGATAAAATTGTGTGGAAAGTTTCATCATTATCTCATTTTGATCCAAGTACTTCTATATGTAATCAGGAGGTCCAGAAGATCATCCATTTACAGAATATAACAAATCAAATGTCAGACGCGTTTACTGATTTGAAAAGGATAACTAAGTCACATATCCCTGTAGAGAATGTGCCTATACGAATTGATGTCCCGGCAGGACCATCTACTAGCATGATAGCTAGTGAACCTAAAGTCCACGCCCGAAGTGCGGTAGGCCTTTGGGCTCTAAGGATCGAAATCCTAGAAAAAGAAAATCGGCAAATGATCAAAATGATACTATGAAGGGATCTTCTGAAGAGACCCAAGATCTGACTAGTTCTAAGATTCCTGAAGAAATCAATGAACCCGAGACTTGATCACGCCCAACTATACCTTATAAAAAGGACTAAGCGGTCATTGCAAATATAATCCGGTTTACAAGTTCGGAGTCGAATCTCATAGAGAACTAAGGTCTAGCTATAGCTGTTAGGGATATAGTAGATATGCCCTAGGTCCAATCTCATATTTGATGATTTGAACATATTTTGTGAACGTTATTTGATATAAAAATATATGGCATTTGATATTCTTTTATCATTATTATTAATTATTTGATTAATTTGATAAGGTCCTTGATTAAATTTTGAGACTTGATATTGTGATGGAGATCATGATAATGAGAGTGAAGTTTCTTATAATTTAATCTAAATTTGTTTTTGATCATAGGATTATTAATTTGGACATTAATAATCCGGTTAGATCAATATTTATGTGATCGTCTTTATTGGATAAAGATTAGTTGATCTCATTAACTAAATCACATAGATAGATGATGCATATAGAGATATGATCATTGAACCGACTCATTGGATAATTCCTAATGGTTAGAATTACCATAAACTGTCAATAGGATATTCTCTTGAAGAATGTGATGTAACCGTTTCCTTTGACCTGAGATCGTCATAGTAATTGACAAGTTATTTNTTGATCTCATTAACTAAATCACATAGATAGATGATGCATATAGAGATATGATCATTGAACCGACTCATTGGATAATTCCTAATGGTTAGAATTACCATAAATTGTCAATAGGATATTCTCTTGAAGAATGTGATGTAAGAGTTTCTTTTGACCTGAGATCGTCATAGTAATTGATAAGTTATTTATTGTGCTTTGATACCAAACACCTATAGCCCTAGGACGATAGTTGAAAGGATATTGGGTATGATTAAATGCTTGTAGAATTAGTGATTGATCAAGATGGAATCTGTCAACTCTTGATAATGAGTTTAAGGTCCATGTTGTCATGAATTATAAATGACCAAATTAAGACCTTGGCCAGGGCAATTGAATAAAAGAAGAAAAGAGTTTCTTAGGTCATTCAATAGTCGGTTATATTTGACATAAACAAATAGTTGGTCGTCTATTAGGATTTGACAGTTGAACCATATCCTAGGGTGATCCAGAGCTATAAGGACAGAAGTAATTACTACATTATTCTTCTACTGGTTCTTGAGAATAAATTGTATACCTCATGCTATCCGGTCGTTAAGGAGTGTTGCTAGACGCTACCCTTGATTAGTATATTAATGTGATCAATTTACTGCCGGTTTAGTATTGAACCTATGGGGTCGCAC